CAGACCGCGGGCTGCCCCGCGAGCCGTGCGAGGAGCCCAAGGTCACGGCGCCTGCTCGCCGCTCGGGTCTTCGGCGCCGGTTCCGGGCTCTTCCCAGCGCAGGTGGCTGCCGCCTGCATCTGGGAACTGGAAGTCATCGCAGAAACGGGGGGCTCAGGAAACGAGACTGGGGTGACTTCGGAGGAGCGGGCGTGGGTGCGGGCCGCGCTGGGCCGGTCGGGACGGGGTCTAGTCACCTGTGGGTCCCGGGCCTGCGGGTGGGAGTTTCACGGTCCTCTCCCGCGCGGAGTCGGCTGGCCCCGAAGGAGCCCGGGCACCGAGGCTTAGGGCTGCTTGTCAGAAACTCGGAAGTTTAATTACAGCCACATAGTGACTTTTTGTCTTTCACACAAAAAGACAGCTTTTTTGCCCCAGGAAACGGACAGCCTCTGGTCGGGCGTCCGGTCGCCTCTCCTGCTCGGCCTCTCCCGCGACCTCCTGCACCTTCGGTCCGAGACCCTGGGCCCCACCGGGCCAGCGGTGCCCAGAGTATTGAGCAGGCAAACTCTGCTCTGAGAAACCTGTGAAGATGCGCGTGGTTTGAGATTACAGCTGGGGACTTTACATAACCTAAGTAGCTTGTTCCTGTTTCTTTTATATGCATTTATAGGATACATGCCTTTTTTCATTGTGCATGTGCCAAGTGGGTGACAGTGAAACTTACTCCAAATTTCTATCAGGAGTAAAGCAAAACCTGTTTTTTTTTAGGGGTAGAGAGTTGGAAGAACTTAATGCCTATCTTAATTTATGGATTCTTCCCTTTTTTAAAGAAGTTATTGTTGACAAACTGAATAAAATAAAAGTTAACTCTAAAATGATGTGTTTTAAGTGTGATGTTATAGTTTGAAAATCCGCTGTCCTTTAAAAAATCTTGACAAATATTTTGTTCTCTGAATTAAACTGATTGGAAATTTTTGCGGTTTTAGGTAAAATTTTGAACACATCTAAAAGTTTGATGTTTGAGGGTTTTGTGGTTGGTTTTTTTTTGTAATAAAAAGCTTTGTAGTAATTACCCACATACTTTTTTCATTGATTTTAGAGAGAGAGGAAGGGAAAGGAGAGAGAGGAAACATCGATTGCCTGCCTCCTGCACACACCCCACCGGGGATCAAGCCCCCAACCTAGGCCTGTGGCCCTGACCTGGAACCGAACAGGTGACCTCTCGGGTGCGCCTGAGGACACCCAACCCAGGCCAGGGCTCTGTTCCTTGATTTTAAAAGTCTGTTGTTTTAATGGAAATTTCTGGGTTTGGTGTGTGTCTGCCATTTTTCAGGTCTGAAGGCCCTTTCTGAACCTCAGCTTGCTTGTCTAGAAATTGGGTTGGAAGATTTTCATTAAGATCAAATATTGTGCAGTGCTTTTGTTACCTGTAAATTGTTGCAAATGTTGGGCACAACTCTCATGTATTTTAAGGTGTTTTGTTGTGGCTATATTTAAATATAAAAAGAGCACTTCTTGTTTTTTCCTGACATCTTTCCTATCTCTCTACTCACCCCAGATCCTTCCCATTGCACCTGATCTCTCGTCTTTCTGCTCTACCCTTTGGAAGAGGTCTGGAGTTTTAAAATTATTATTATACGTTTGAATTTCAAAGAGCATTTCCTTGTTGTGTCTCCTTTCTTTTAGCACACTGCTGTTCTTCTAGGGACCTTGCAGGGTTGTAGTGGCTTCCTGCCCCCAATTACGTCCTGGGGCTGCCACCAGGGGCCAGCTGGATACTGTGTCCAGTGCCTGCTCCTCTCTGCCAGGCAGCTGGCTTCATAGGCTGTTGTGAGGCACATCAGGTTAATGCCTGGGCTGTGCTTGGTCAGAGTGGCACCTGGCCGTCACTGTAATGAAACCATTGTTACTAGGTGGTAGCTCTCTGGGGCATGATTGACACACTGTCCCTCTTTCCTCCAAGTTCCTTTGTTTTGGGTTTCCTATTATAAACATGCTGATCCTAAGCTGTGGGTTCATGTTTCAGGTGGAGCTGCTTTGGACCCATACGCACTTCTGTGTGCAGGAGGCACTTTTTAGCTGGAGGGTTTCCCAGTGGGTCATTTTTTTAAGGACTCCATGTGTTTGACCCATGAGGACTTCTCTTCTGGCTTGATCCTTTCAGAGAGAAACCCTGGGGATGGTGGAAATGATTTACTCCTGTTGGCCAGCATTTGGGACACAAGAGTGGGAGTAGCTGTGTGTTCTCACCTATCAGGATGGGGTAAGCTTGGGGGCCCAGCAGTTCTGCACAGACTTGCAGACATCTCCTAGTTGAGACCTTGATCAGTCCCCACTCCTCTGGCCGCAGCTCCCCCTACTAGTTGCTCTGTGGACGAGGCCTCTTCCGTTTCTTTCTGCCACCTTGGTGAGGTTGGGAGGGAAAGGAGATGAGCAGCTGTACACAGTCCATCACACTGACTCAGAGTCTCAGGTGGATGCTTAGGGGCTGCTGAGCACACTCCATGGTGTTTGAGGGTGATGTAGACACTAGCAAGTTCTACATCAGCCTGGCGTGTCTCACAGCAGAGTGCCTCGGCACAGGCTGCCTACACATCTTAGAGGAGCGTCACTCGGGTCGTGCGAACAGGTCTGGTGCCACCCGGATGATGGCTAGGGGTGCTGTCTGTGCTGTGCTCAGGGCTCTTCACCTCGCAGACAGAAAGCAACAGAAGTGAGGCATCACGCGGTACACGGTAGTTTATAAATGCCCAGCTTGGTGCCCGCCGTCAGTGTCATACTTACACTTTTCCTATCACTCTAGTTTTATAAAGTAGTATGCATAAGATTAAATTCATGTGGGTAATTTAAATCTTATTGGCTTTGTAATTTTCTTAGTATTTAGTTTGCAGTTATTTTTATTTTAGGTCTCTTCTAAGCTATTTCTCATTTTAAGTTTATGCAGATTTACGTAGGTTAATGAAAATAACTTCTCACCACTGACAGTTATGGGAAATTCTCTTTTAAAAGATTCAGTCCAGCCCTGTCTGGTGTGGTTCAATTGGTTGGGCATCATCTGGTACACTCAAAGGTTGCTGGTTTGATTCCCAGTCAGGGCATATAACTGGATTTTGGGCTAGATCCCTGGTAGGGGGCGTGCAGGAGGCAGCAGACCAATCGATGTATCACTGTCACAGCAATGTGTCTCTCCCCCTCCCATCCTTCACCCCTCCCCAAAAACCAACTTTAAAAGATGATTTTAAAAAATNACTCCTCTGGCCGCAGCTCCCCCTACTAGTTGCTCTGTGGACGAGGCCTCTTCCGTTTCTTTCTGCCACCTTGGTGAGGTTGGGAGGGAAAGGAGATGAGCAGCTGTACACAGTCCATCACACTGACTCAGAGTCTCAGGTGGATGCTTAGGGGCTGCTGAGCACACTCCATGGTGTTTGAGGGTGATGTAGACACTAGCAAGTTCTACATCAGCCTGGCGTGTCTCACAGCAGAGTGCCTCGGCACAGGCTGCCTACACATCTTAGAGGAGCGTCACTCGGGTCGTGCGAACAGGTCTGGTGCCACCCGGATGATGGCTAGGGGTGCTGTCTGTGCTGTGCTCAGGGCTCTTCACCTCGCAGACAGAAAGCAACAGAAGTGAGGCATCACGCGGTACACGGTAGTTTATAAATGCCCAGCTTGGTGCCCGCCGTCAGTGTCATACTTACACTTTTCCTATCACTCTAGTTTTATAAAGTAGTATGCATAAGATTAAATTCATGTGGGTAATTTAAATCTTATTGGCTTTGTAATTTTCTTAGTATTTAGTTTGCAGTTATTTTTATTTTAGGTCTCTTCTAAGCTATTTCTCATTTTAAGTTTATGCAGATTTACGTAGGTTAATGAAAATAACTTCTCACCACTGACAGTTATGGGAAATTCTCTTTTAAAAGATTCAGTCCAGCCCTGTCTGGTGTGGTTCAATTGGTTGGGCATCATCTGGTACACTCAAAGGTTGCTGGTTTGATTCCCAGTCAGGGCATATAACTGGATTTTGGGCTAGATCCCTGGTAGGGGGCGTGCAGGAGGCAGCAGACCAATCGATGTATCACTGTCACAGCAATGTGTCTCTCCCCCTCCCATCCTTCACCCCTCCCCAAAAACCAACTTTAAAAGATGATTTTAAAAAATAAAAGAGCCCGGCCAGGCATGGCTCAGCGGTTGAGCATCGACCTAGGATCCAGGTAATCGGGGTTCGATTCCCGGTCAGGGCACATGCCCGGGTTGCGGGCTGCAGCCGGTCAGTGACTCTCTCATCATTGATGTTTCTGTCTGTCTGTCTCTCCCTCTCCCTTCCTCTCTCTGAAATCAATAAAGATATATTTAAAAAATAATAATAATAATAATAAAATAAAAGATTCAGTCCATTTTAATTAAGTTTGAAAATCCAGGTGACAGAGCTAGAATACCATTAATTATGTGGTACACCCCCTGGGTATAAATGGCATAGATTTAGTCCCTTTTAGTCCAATACAGAATGTTTCAGTCTCATTTAAGCAAATTAGGTTATTTTGAATAATTTAGTTTAAAAACTGACACATCTAACAAGAAGCCTAATCCTTTTCCCAAGTCTAACTGAAGATTTTTTTAAGAGAAAAGAAATCCCAGGAAATAGAATTCAGTATATTTTTATAAGTCAGTCAACAGTGCCATTGCAATAAGAAATCACATAATTCTTTGATGAAAGTACTTGTGCATACCTTTAAGAGTTGTATTATTTTGTGGCCACTTTGGGGGCAGTCTTCAAGTGATTTAAGTATTGGGGTCTGTTTCTGGTGTAGACATCGTATCTGACAGCTGTTCAGCAGTGTGTCTTTAAGCACCCCGACTTCAGTGGCCCTGCGCCCCAAGTGGTCACTGGCATTTGCCAATGGACACGCCCTTGGAGCTGGTGCCCCAGCAGCAGGAATGGTTTGAAGTGAACTAGTCTTTCCTCAGAGCAGCCAGAGAGATGAGGTTTTCTGGGGCATTTGACAAAGATTGAGTCTCGCTGTGGTCATAGAACCAGCTATTGCGGCCGCTTGAGAGACCACACCCACACCTTGGTCATTGTTCAGTCAGCACTCAGGCAGGAACTGCAGGGGAAACTGTTTCCTCCAGAGTCCATCCAGTAGTGTATTTCTTCCAGCACTCGGCATGTTTTCTGTACCCCATGGGCTTTTACCCCTAGAGATTGATGTCCAAGGTCTTCGTGTTGATAGTGTCAGAAATCTCAGTTTCTGACCAACAGTGTCTCAATAGGTAATGGCATTGTCATTATCAGCAGTGGTGACTTTATCCAGACAATGGAGTAGAACTTGTACTGTCTGTAATGTCATTTTGTAAGAAGCCAACAAAAATTACTTCATAAAAATTACAATGTGTCTGTTAATATTATGTAACAATCAGATTTATTTTAAAAGTTAATATTAGGCATGCATTATACATTAGGCAACAGTCTCCTAGGACCAGATTTTTGTTTACAATATTAATTTTCCAAATTTCTACCCTACATCCTTACATTAAGACAACCAGTCTAGATAAATCCTGGTGTACCAGGGACCAGGCATTACACTTCAGAAAAACCATAAATTCACACATGCTGTCAGCTCTGGGCTTCAGAACCGGTAAGTGACTGCTTGTTAATTACAAGTTTCCCATGAAAGTTTGGCTTTATCCAGGGAGAGAGTTTTATGTGTGTTTATCTCTCTTTTGACCCTTCTTATTGATTTTTTATACTCACTGTGGCTTCTCTCACAATTGTAATCTGGTAAATTGCCTCTGTATTTTATTGACAGCTGACATCATCTCAACTGTTGAATTTAATTACTCTGGAGATCTTCTTGCAACAGGAGACAAGGGTGGCAGAGTTGTTATTTTTCAGCGGGAACAAGAGGTCAGTAGTTTACAATCCACACTCCCAATGAAATCAGTCAACCCTTCTGATATCACTCTAACCATGTAGAATCTTCTTTCCAAAATTATCTCTGGGTATCTGTGTTTCAGCTCACTGTCATCCAGCCCCGATCAAGTCCCCACGCCCTCATTTTAGGGGAGAAAGAGAGTCTTTTCCTTCCATGTTACTTCCAAATCAAACTTGATTCTCTACCTTCCCAGAGTTGGTCATTATTTCGACGAAAGCGTACATCTTCCCAAGCATGGTTTCAGCTTTGACTATAGCGTAGAGAATTGTTTGTTGTTTGTTTTTAAAAATGTGCATGATAGGCCTCTTACTACAGGTATTTAATTATGTATGGGCATTTCCCATGCCGGCTCCACTCATGTGTTGTAGCTGCTGAGTGGTGCTCATTACATGGCCCTGCCATTTAGCAGTCCCCATCTCTGGTGTGGTCAATTGATAGTACTAACATTTTCCCTGCACTGTTCTTGTTCATTAAAACAGCTTTATGTTTCCTTGCAGAATAAAAGCCGCCCTCATTCTAGGGGGGAATATAATGTTTACAGTACCTTTCAAAGTCATGAACCAGAGTTTGACTATTTGAAAAGTCTAGAAATTGAGGAAAAAATTAATAAAATTAGGTGGTTACCACAACAGAATGCTGCTCATTTTCTACTCTCTACAAATGGTAAGAGCTTTTGTTTCTAATGGATATTTGATTTAGGATTTTATTTAACTTTCTGTGTGTAGGTTCTTTTTTATTTTAACCTATTCCCAAAGCTATTTCTGCTTTAAACTTTGCAGGGAGGGTAATTATTAGCTAGGAAACAAGTGATAGGTTGAAAACTCAAAGGATGTGCACATACACATGCTCCTTCCCCTAGTACCACATACTTAAAAAAGGAAAAGAAACCCCTCAGCAGGTGGACAAAGCACCAGTGTTACTCTCCCCATTTTTAGCTCTGACATCGTTCCTTATGTAGGAAACTAGTGTTCACCCATAATTGGAAATACACACTTTTCTAGTCTAATACCCAACTAATAGTGGTGCATGATAATATGGTTTTTCTTTTAATATGGAGAATGAGGTTTTTATTTTCAGATAAAACTATTAAATTATGGAAAATAAGTGAACGGGATAAAAGAGCAGAAGGTTATAACTTGAAAGATGAAGATGGACGACTTCGAGACCCATTTAGAATTACAGCACTGCGGGTATACATTCCGTTTTCTTTAAACTATCAGTACTTTTCATAAATTGATCAAGAATAATGCCTAAGTCAGCTGTTATCTGCCTTCTTGATTCAGAAAGTTACATGTAATAATACAGTCGTTGTACGTATACATGTTAGAAATGAGATTCCTCTTTCACAAGAGCGAAAGTCACACATTATCTTAAGAAAATACAGTAATACTGAAGAAAAGACTCCGATTTAATTCCACAACAGGAATCTTTCTAAATGTATCAACTGCCTTTCACTATATAGGTTTAGAATAGCACATGGCAGAGTTGATGACCTCCTGAGGTGACATAGCACAGGTTGCAAATTGAAAGATGACCTATGGGCCACCAAGATGAATTTAAGGGGGTTTTAGTTGGATTTCCTCTGAGTTAACTAAGGCAGGTCTAATACCTCAGAATTCTTGCCTGTTGGTCCATGAGCATCATTACCTTTTTTGTTGAATTTACCACTTCCTTTTTGGTGCCCCTGGGTACATTAAGAAATGGCCATATTTCATCAGTTCTGATACCTAGATTTTTTTTCACATTTTTAACCTCTATGAAGTTGAGTAAAACTTAAAATCTCAGTGTCTTATAATTGGCCTGGGGATGAACACCATGGATAGTAACTTAAATGTGATGAAATGTAGTGAAGGATGTAAAACACATTCATCGTGGCTGGCATGCCTCGTGTGACACCAGGAAGTGCCACTGTGGACAGGATGGTGCAGGAAGGCAGGCACCCAAGGTAGTGCAGATGGTCCCCAAAACAGAGCTGCCTCATGTGTTTGAAAACATGTTCAATTGTTTATGAGTTGAAGGCTGGTAGTGCACACATTCAGACTGTAGCTGAGGCTCTGCAGAGAGGGACGTTGTTGCAGGACGTTCCCCACACTCCCCACTGTAGTGACACTGGACAGTGTGTGTATCTGTAATGCCATTCCTCAGTTCTCCTGTGCTGGGTGCTGGGGTAGTGGGCGCACAGGGCAGAGCCCAAGCCCAGCAGCAAAGGCAGTACCACTGCAGTTAGGAAAACTGGGATGTGATCGCGTGAGCATTGCCAAGGAGACATGCAGGATGGGACGGTCATAAGACCTCTTACGTCGATAGTGTTGCCGTGTTTCCAGGGAGTTGAGACCAGGAAGGCTGTGTAATATGCTCAAATCGAATTTACAGAACTCTAATTTGAACCAGAATGTGATCCAGACAATGCCTTCTGTTGCCCCTGCAGCTGCTTTTGCATCCATGGTTCATGATAGTGTAGATGGTCCCTGTTTGTGACAGTGACATGAGGGTACAGTCACCAATGTGAGCCGCTCGCTTAAACTGTCAAGTGTAATAGAGGGGAGCAGGATGGGGCTTTGTGGGGTGTACTTTCTCCTGCCCCAGCCTGTCCCCAGTGCTGCCATCCACCTGAGCACACCACCTTCTCTTAGGACACAGTTTCCTCCTGACCATGCCTGCTCGCCACACAAGATGCCCACTTGGCTGTTATGGAAAAACTATAGGTCTTACTAGGTCCAATCTTGGTTTTATTCAAGGCTGCTGTTATGTGCTTATAGCCTGAATAAAACATGGAATCAGTGGTTGGTGAAGCATATGAGAAGAGCGGCTTCCACATAAACTGCTCTTATCAAAGGAGGGGTAAGGGGTCACAGGCTGGGTTGTCTAAACTTAACTGGGTAAGAGTGAGATCTGTTGATTTTCTTAAATTTTCTTTTCCTCTTAAATTATTTTAGTGTCAAAAAATGGGTTTAATTAGAGGAAGGTGTCTTCTCTTGTAAGTATTCATTCACCCTGTGTTTTGATTATTAGAGATATACCTGTTGGAGGGGTATGCCAGGCCTGTCCCAAACTGAGTAGGACTGACACTTCCCACTCTAGAGAAAGCAGGTGTGTGGTCAGCACTTAACTGGTTAAAGTGAGGGAAGTCTTTCTGTGTCTAAAGAATTTTGGCCAGAGAAGACTAAATTGACAGATTTCCTTCTGGTCTTTCTGGCACTTCCTTTTGGTTTTGAATTACAAAAGTAACAAAAAGAATAAAGCACTAATTTTTGTTAGATTTTAAAGCTCCTCCTTTCCTGCTAGATGTCAATGATGTTGGGCCTTTTTTCTCTTTGTCACATGTGGACACTGTTAGCCACGACTGCACCATTCCCTTGGGCTGTGGCCCTTCCTGTTGTCCTTCACCTGGCAAACTCTCCACCGTTTCCATTTTGGTGTAGGTGTCCTGTTCCCTGGAAAGCCTTCCCTGACTCATCACAGAGGTGGGGTTGCTGTGCCCCTTTTTAAAAACCTTTTATTGAAGTATAATATGCACAGCAGAAAATGCCTTTGCCATGTAAGCAAACAGCCCCGTGAACACACAAGTGCAGCCAGTGCCAAACTAAGAAATGGCACCTCCCCTCTCCCAGGGCCCCTCCTGTGCACTCCTCCAGCCCTGCGCCCCTCCATGGCATGTAGTGTGTGCTTGTTGAGCAGCAGGCCACTAGTGGAGAGAAAGAGAAGGCCCATGCCCCCAGTCTGCTACCAGGAGAGCAGACAGGGAGGGTCCGGCTGAGCCTCCCATGAAGACTTGGCTGACTGGCAGCTTGTAGCCACAGGGACAGACAGGACAGTGAAGCCACATCATTAGGCATCAGAGCCCTGGAAGCAGTTTGTTTAGGTGCTAGTTTAATCTTTTCTTCCGTAAGAAAGTTTCAACCTTGGTGGCAGCCAGGAGAAGCAGCTTGAAATAGACAACCTCCCATGTTGTAGCCTATTTCCACAGCTCTGTCACTTGCTATTTTGGGTATTACTTGTATAAAACTGTCACTTCACAGTGAATGGTGATTTGTCCCTTTTGTTATCTACTATGTGTTCTGATTACATACTGCTGTGGTCTTGTTTTGAATTCCTGTTTCCTTCCATTTTTAGGTCCCAATATTGAAGCCCATGGACCTCATGGTAGAAGCAAGTCCGCGACGAATTTTTGCAAATGCTCACACATACCATATAAATTCCATTTCCGTAAACAGTGATCATGAAACGTATCTTTCTGCAGATGACCTGAGAATTAACCTGTGGCATTTAGAGATCACAGATAGAAGCTTTAGTATCCTTCATCGGGCGGGTCTCGCACTTTCCTAGGCTTATTCTTCAATAGGGAACTCTCAGCGATTTACCCGCCTCTAGCCCTTGCTGCCTAATAGCCAGGGTTGTAAGTTCTCTGTGGTTTAAAGTGTTTCTCCCTTAAAATGCAACCACTTCCTACCTTTGGGAAAAATTTTCTCTCTGATGGGCATCACCTCAAGTCCATTGCCTTCCTGGTTGAATCGTAAGCAGTTTTATGAAGTGTACATTTGAAAGTTCAGCGTTGCTTTTGGTGGGGATGGGAGCTAAACTGCCTAATAGAAAATACTGGCCTTGGTTAAAATGATGTTTAATTACCCAACCTGAGAAGTGACTGATCATGGAAGAATTCTATTTTAGAAGATGAGCTGTTTAAGGAATAGTCAAAAATTCATCTTTTAAGTGATATATGCTACTATTTAGGATAGAAATCTAAATATTACTGTCTAATCACACATTTTAAGTTACTGATTTCTCTAGAAAATGAGGGCCTTATGAAATGTACATATCAAGTAGCTTCAGTCACATTTTTCCACGTTTTGGAGTGCTGGCCGGCTGCCCACAGCAGTCTTGACTACTCTCCTGAGGCTTGGGGTTTGGCATGTGCTTGTCCAGCCTTTTACTCATGTAAACCTCATGAAATGAAGAGGATATGACTTTAAATTCTAGCATTTCACACTTAATTTTTATTAGTTGTTGCCTTTACTTGACTTGGTGGTTTACTTCATGTGGTTACTTAGTTTATGAAACTCCAATAGACAGTGCTGAGGTCTCCGGTGCTGCTCATCTGTGGCCCTGGTTGTTTCTCCAGCCTGACTGCTGCTGCCCCAGGCTTGCTGGGAGCTCTTCTCTGGCACTCACCACTGCGTGCCCTGGGAACTTCCCTGGGTCCCCACCATGCACATCCCCAGGGTGTCTGCCACACTGTCTGGTGTCCATGCCTTGAGTTGTGCTGTCACCTAGGTGTCAATTTCTCAATTGTTAATGGTGGCAGCACAGGTCTGGTCCCTACAGCTCCGACTCGGCCCAGAGCCAGCTTCTGCTCTTCTTTCACTTGAGGGATGGCTGTACTTGGCGACCTACTATGTGATGCTGGGTATGTCAGATACTTGGGAAAACAGAATCTTTTGGAATTTGGAAGTGTGTGTGTGTGTGTGTAGTTATTTATGGGTAGAGCATGGGATTTTTGTGTAGGTGGGTGCTTGCTTTTCTCATTTACATCATTAAATCTGTGTGATCTGTATGAAGGCTTCATAGAACATCCACAGCAGCCACAGGAGGAAAGCAGCCCTGGTGAGAGAGAGTATCTGTGTGTCTCCAGCCCCCATTGGGCCCATTACCCTAGTCTGATTATTGCTTCAGTATGGATCATCTTACTGGAGGGCTGCTGGATACAGTGTGTAATCGCCTCACAGCTAATCTCTTAATCCTCACTGCGGGGGTACTTTCTTGGCTGTGGACTAACTAAAACCGCCCAGCGCTCTGCCTTAACTGCGCTTCCAGACATCGTGGACATCAAGCCCACGAACATGGAGGAGCTGACAGAGGTGATCACTGCGGCTGAGTTCCACCCTCACCAGTGCAACGTGTTTGTGTACAGCAGCAGCAAGGGGACCATCCGGCTGTGCGACATGCGCTCCTCGGCCCTGTGCGACCGACACTCTAAGTGTAAGTGCTTCCTGTTGGAAAGAGCTCATTTAAATCCTGTGTCCAGACTCTGGAGTGTGTACAAAGTTTTCTTCTCTTGCCCCCATGCCCGGGCACATGTGCGGCCACCTTGGTTCAGTCGGTCATGGACCACTGCCAAGAAGCAGTGGACTGGACCACAAGGTCTTGCTTCCTGGAAGTGTGGTGGGGCCACTGTAGGTTTGCTCTGCCCAGAGACTCGGTGCATCATTGAAGGGCTCCAGGCTGGGCATCTGAGAACCATCTGCTGCCTCCACCTCTGTGCATGGGACCAGGGCTAGGGCTGCCAGGTGCATTTGTCCTGTGACCCTTCTCAGCCATCAGCAGCTGTGCTGGACTGGCAGCCAGTCCCTCGGGAAAGTCAAGCACTTTCATCCCAAGCCTTGACTCTCCTAGGTTAAGGAAGTTGTGGTTTTGTTTTATTTTTACCCATCAAAGAATAGGCCCAACTTTATAGAAAATCAGTGTGCATGTCATGGGGATGTGATGTATGCTATGGACACTTTGCTGGAGGATTCTCAAGTGTGCCCCAGTAAAACGTCCTGTTCAAGACAACACCTTGACATTCATCTCGACACTGTTTTTCAGTGAAGCTCATTCCTGGTCTTTCAGTCTGGAGTGCCTCCCACATCAGTGTATGAGCAGCCAGAGTGCCTAACGTTAATGTGCTCAGTCACCTCTCTGCCCTATTCTCTTTTTTTGAGGCTGAAGTGTGTTTTAAATAATTCTGTGCTCTTTGTAGAATTCCCACAGTGAAGAGTGGGTCTTAGAACACCTGGCCACTGTCAAGGTAACACTTGAATGAACAGTTTCAGATTCCAAGAGTTTTGTCACCAAAGTAATTTATTTGACTAGATGCTTGGTATTGCCACCAGCTTGCTTAAAATTAACTTCAGCCCTGTCCAGTGTGGCTCAGATGGTTGGGCATCGTCCCGTGCACCGAAAGGTGGCCAGTTCAATTCCTGGTCAGGGCACGTGCCCAAGTTTTGAGCTTGATCCCCAGTAGGGGGAGTACAGGAAGGAGCCAATCAGTGTTTTGCTCTCATGTCAGTGTTTCCCTCTCCAATTCCTCTCTGTCTAAAAATCAATTTTTTAAAATCTAAAAAAAATTTTAACTTAAAATACAGAACCAACAAACATACAAGTCCTTATTTTTTTTTAAAAAGGCGCAGCTTAAAATGAAAAGGTGTGCCAACCTCCTTGCCCAAAGTTGGCTGAACCTAAGGCATGGCAGTACCTAGGGCTCAGGTTCAGGGTGCAGCCTCCACGACCACACAGGTGAAAGGCTGTGGACTTACTGCTGAGAAAGCCGAACTGGGAGACAGGTCTGCCAAGGAAGATCAGGATCTTTCTGAAAGTAGTGATCCCGTTTTGTCATTGTAGATCGTGACCATTGAGTAGTGAAAACAAACCTCGTGGCAGGTGAGCCATGCTGGTTATTAAAATTTGCACCATGGCGTACCTAGATGGAGGTTGTGGTCACTCAGCAGAAGAAGTGGGGCATTTTCTCAGCCACCCTGAGTGTAGCACCTGCATTCTCTCATGATGTCGTTTCTGTCTTCCAAAGATAGGGACAGGGCAAGGCTAGAGCCTTGCTAGAGCCTGGTGCCACAAGAATGCAGAGATATCCGTGCAGTAACGGCCTCTAGTCGGCGCAGGGTCCTTAACCAGGACTCATGTCAGCGTGTCCTGGGGAGCTTTTCTAGGTAGTAGCTGAGGCCTCACCCATGGAGACGCTGGTCCCGAGTCTGGGTGAAATCAGGGCCCATGCTTCTGATGCTGCCTCTTGTCACCCACTGGCACTGGAGTGTCCTGCCTAAACATCTTAAGCACAGAAGTCGAACACCAGAAAACATCCGGAGATTGGAAGCTTGAGCAGTGTCGGGGCCTAAGTCCTGCCAGGACTTCAAAATGACTTGTTGTCCAGTTTCTAAACAGAAGCTAAAAACATTGTGTTTTTCAGTTTTTGAAGAACCTGAAGACCCCAGCAGTAGATCTTTCTTCTCAGAAATAATTTCTTCCATCTCCGATGTGAAATTCAGCCATAGTGGTCGGTACATGATGACCCGAGACTACCTGTCGGTGAAGGTCTGGGATCTCAACATGGAAAGCCGGCCCGTGGAGACCCACCAGGTGAGGCCGCTGCACGAGGACACGCCACACCTCACACGTGACACTCTCTAACAATCCTGTGATCTCATTAAGGTCCATGAGTACCTTCGAAGCAAGCTGTGTTCTCTGTACGAAAATGACTGCATCTTCGACAAGTTTGAGTGCTGCTGGAATGGTCCAGACAGGTAAGCCTGCATCAAGACTGACCGCCACCCAGGCTTGTCTCCCTTGGGTGTCCTCGGGCCCAGCGGGTGGCTTCCAGAGACAGACGGAGAGCTGGGGCAAGCGGCGTGGAGGATGCTGACAGGCTTGGCTTTCCAAGCCATTTCTCTGGTGACATGCTCGAGATGAGGAAAACAGGATGTCTGAGCCGATTATTTTATAATCGATGTCTGCTTGCTTATTTTATAATTCTTTTTATGTTTAGACAGTAAGTGTGGTACTAGGTTCATGTTGATGGTTTTTTAAATGTTTAGTGAATGATGATTTCATATCTTTTAATATTTCCAAGGTGAGTGAAAAGGGAGTAGGGAGGTCATTTACTAGGAGGTGTGTGGATAGCCACAGTTAAGGTTTCCTTTTCGTCTAGAGAGCAGCAGCAGAAAATACCCTCAGAGCTACTGTTTGTCACGCTTCGACAAAGAGTCGAGGTGGCCAGGGTGAAAGCCTGATTTAATTTATAATGTGACAGCTCTGGTTCCTCGGTAGTTTATTTTGTGCACATTCTTTAAAGACAGTAATACTAGTATTACTGAGGGTTATATCTTTATACAAAAAATTCAGTTTCAGCCCGGCCAGGTGTGGCTCAGCGGTTGAGCATTGACCTAGGATCCAGGCGATCGGGGTTCGATTCCCGGTCAGGGCACATGCCCGGGTTGTGGGCTCTATCAGTGACTCTCTATGTTTCTATCTCTCTCTCTCCCTCTCCTTTTCTCTCTCTGAAATCAATAAAGATATATTTAAAAAAAAAAAAAAAAAAAAAAA